GGAATATGTGAGTTTAAAAATCAGCCAACAAGTCGTCTTCATACATTAAGCTTCTAACTTAGCATCAACAACTTCCTGCATGACTGCACCACAAAATCTGGACACAAGAAGTAGAATTTGTTGAGGTGTACTGTGTTATATTTTACAAATCCTCAACCGTTTTGTTCATATGAAGGATTTAACTATTACTTGGTGAAATATTAACTCTTATATACTGTCTATATATTTTAAGATTTCCTGTCAAAAATTCCCTCATAGAAAGTGTCCATACCAAATTTTAAACGACAGATCGGATCAGTATGTCTAAATAGCCAATGTCACATTATAAAATGCAAATACAAAATACACACAAACATGGCCTGCACAGTTTCACAATTTCAAGATTCCCTAAAATCTCCATTTTCCTTGATTTGATCCGTCCATCTCAATGCATACGGGTCAAATTTGGCCAGAAACAGCAACAAAAATATTTTTTATGTATTTTGGGTCACCTGAGGAAAAGTCAACAAATTTCAAGCTACAAGAAAGACATTTATGGTATTTTGTTTTTACTATCAAATGTCAAAATGGGTTAAATTTGGCCAGAAACAGCCTCAGTGTACAAAAATGTGTGTACAGAAGTGTAACATTTTAAAATGTTTTCATTTTTGTGCATTTTGGGTCTTCTTAGGTAAAGTCAGCCTAAAAGAATGATGTTTAAGGTATTTTTACTGCCATCAAATGTCAAAACAGGTCAAATCTGACCCGAAACATGATTAAAGAAAACAGGAAAAAGTTTTGAAATTTGATAAGAAAGACATACAATCCCTCACTACACAATGTTGATATTTCTTAGATATATTGGTTTATTTGAATATGTTTCTGTATCATTATTTTAATAATTATTTTAGGCTTTGCTTTTGTCTTTGTGTGTTATGACATTACATTTTAGCACCTTCTCTGCATACATTAAGGGTTATGTGTCTTGGTCAAAATGAACACCAATGATGCATCAAACACAAAAACACCTCAGGTTTACGAGCTGTTTTCTCTTTGTCACTCGCTCTCAGATGCTCAGCGTAACAGAGACGGAGACCTTGGCGGCGTACATGAAGCCTCCGTCTCGCTACGGAGGGGGAGGGGGAGCGGGAGGAGTGGACGACAGCAGCGGGGGTCCGGCGAAGGGCTTTGTAGTGCGGGACGCCCCCTGGAACGCAGCAGGGAACAAGGTGGGATACGCTTGTTTATGAAGTTATCACGAGTAATAATGTCTCCTTTTGGTGATTTTTGGTTTAATAATGAGTTGAAACGAGGAGATTGGGATGATTCAGTGGGAGATTTTAGACATGTAATATTCGTGTGCACATCAGACCTCTGCTCGTCTTCTCAGTTTGTTTATCCTCGATTCCTTTCCTCCTCTTCCCACCTGAGATGTGAGCAGAGGAGTAAAAAAAAACCACTGACGTCATATAAATATAAGATGTAGCACCGCTGCATTACCTGCTCATTATCGAGTTACTGCCTGGCGCTGTATTTATTGATCTTCGTCAGATGAGCAGAACAGCGGTCACGGCAGGCGTCTCTCTCTGTATCCTCTTACCTACTGCCGAGCCTCCTCTTTACTCGAGATGTATTTTAGAAATCCTTCCACATGGCACGCTGAGATCAATTTCCAGGTCACGGAACCCCTTTGTGTTTTGTTTGTTCCAGGCTCCTGACATGAGCAGCGCTGAAGATTTCCCCACATTTGGGACGGGCGTGGCCCCGAAGCAAGCATCCGCATGGGGTCCCAAGAAGTTCTGAAGCTACTCATCTGAAAGAAAAAAAAAGAAAAAAAAAACTTCTGTAAAGTAGATGATGAGAGACAAATCTCTTATCAAATTGCTGCTCGCCTTCCTCCTCCTCCTCCTCCTCCTCTCTTTAGTGACCTTCCTTTTGTCTCTCTTTCTCTGTACACCCCCCCTGCTGTTCTCCTCCAACCAGCCACAATGAATTCTGGGAGAACTATTTCTTCTTTATTCCTTAATTGTCTCTCTTCTTAGTACCTCCTCCTCCTCCTTCCTACAAGAGAGAGAGAGAGAAAAAAATAATGAACGTCGAGTGCTCTCTTCATAGTTTTGCTGTCCTGCTCTGCCTCTCGGTTGCACCACCCCTGCCAGTCTCGCTGAAACATTTCAAAAAAACTTTTTTTTTTTCCCCCCCTCCACTTGCGACTGCCAAACTCTCCCCTACAGAATCAAAGTGTCACCTCACTTGCAGTACATAAAGGAAAAAAAAAAATCATTCAGAGTCTGCTGAATCAGGGGGGAGGGAAATAGTCAGAGAGCACCAGGGGAAATATCTGAAGCGAGGCAACGGGGGGGTTGTGTGTCCAAGTTAAGATTTGGATTTTTAAAGCTTACAAAGAAGAGAGGAGTTTTCTAGTGCAAGAAGAGTTTGTAAACAGCTCCATCTTTTAAGGTTCTTTTTTTTTTTTTTGTCCCCTGTGGTTTTTACAAGAAGGTTTCTTATTGGCTCACCTTTCCAGTCACTGGTGCAGCAGGTGAGGCAATGATGTGTGTTTCAGCGTGTGCGTG